CCTACTGTAAAATAGCGGAAAATTTAGAACTTTTATTAAAACGTGTAACTTATAAAATGATTTATCAGTATGCATAAATAAAACAGATTTTCAGACTCATATATAAAACAAAATACAATTACATGCCCCCTGATCACATGTATCATACTCTATAACAACACCGTAAGAACTCCCCTACTGAAGTCGATAGCTGCACTGGTACGATTCTTTTAACCTGCGATGTTGAGTAATAGAGTGAGCTTCGGAAAGCTCAGTAATAAAGAACTACCAGATGATGCTGAAGAACGTGCAGATACAAATAAACATATGTTTCCTTATTGGTTCAGATATCTACAGATTTTTAGGCTGAGCGGAGATCCTACTGATATTTCAGGGGTAACAGACAATGAGCTTTCAGTTCAGAGAAATATTTCGGATGACTGAGTTCAGGAGATCAGAATATGTTATCTAGTGTGTTCCCGCAAAACCAGTGAAAAAGATACATATCTTGTAAAACATATTTATTATTATTATTATTAATTCAAAAGTCCTAATAATCCCTCCAACCGCTACACATCATAATGTGTAGGTTCCCCAGAACCATACACCCAACCGCACATGCTAGTAAGGCCCTGAGCACAAAGCCGAGAAGCCTACATATATACTTCCTCCAACAATAAACCCCCAAATAAAACATTTCTCCGTCAGTAAACGGATATATCAGAAATCAGAATAGAATTCAAGTCGGAAATCGGATAAAATATTCATATGATTAGGGAACACACCAGAGTTTATGGAAATTATTTAGAGGTACTGGATAATCTTATCAGATAGAGAAACACAGATCTTCAGTATGTCGATAGAATGTTGGAATTTAGAATCACTATTGGAAGAGATCAATAACTGTTGGAATCATCAGTTATTCAGAATGAGATTTGAGCTGATAAGGAAGAAATGAAGGTTCATGACATTTACAGTCTGTGTCGATCTATCGGATTATCGAAATAACCCAAGCTTAACAACTTCTAGAACTAATACATGTTGATCGGTCTATTCGTTGTCCTTCCAGGAATTCACTCTTTAATACCAACAATTATTGTTCATAAATCATCTTTGAGTCATCGCTGAATGAATCTTCCAATGGTTTTTATTTCATTTCCTCTCTTCAACGATATCTTGAAATGCTGACGTACTTGATTTTTGGTTCATGACCCGAAGGAAAGTACATCATATAAGTTCATTAGCATTCCTATACTCATCCAAATCACTTATTTAGTTCTCAGTCATTGAGGTTACCAAAGTTCATTTAGCAGTCAAATCCATTCCAGTTACTTCGGAGTTTTCCAGATTAATTTGGACGCCTCTGAATTTTGGGTACATAATGTACTTCCATTCCGTTCAGTTCGATCTTGGTGCTTGATTTGTCGAACAAATATCAAATCCTTAGTGTTGAATACAATCTAGAGTTTAGCTGAGCTGAATACTTCTAAAATTATCATCGAGCCAAAACTTGAGTAAACGAACACTCATTCAAGTGATATCTATGCAGATCAGGTACTGACATATCATGAAGGTTGATCAACTCACTTAAATTGTTTTCTATAACTTTTAAGGGTAGTACAACACCCAAATTTACTTGGATTCCTTAATTAATTCAAGACATTTTCTTAATCTAATCCATAAGGGCATTTTGGTTATTTTGGTGCTCAATATTTTTTCCATTCATTTCAAAGCTTGAGGATATCCATTTATTCTTGGGCTTGGTGATATTTTTCAATTATTTCCATTACAAAGGTATTTTGGTGATTCTACAGATCTGGTGTATTTCAATCATTTCTTTCCATCTTGTCTTATTATTTAATTCTAATTTATCATCTATTTCAGTCACTTCGAATAATTCTGATAAAAGAGCACCCTCGATAATTTATTCTTAACTTGGAGACTTTCAGGTCAATTGCCTTCTCAGAAGTTACAAACAGGTTATCAGGAATTTTTCTGTACAAAGACGAATTTTAACATTTAAATCCATAATTTATCGAGTTAAGTACGAATCCTCAAAGTACTTTCTTATTCAGGGTCAACTCAGACTATTTTTACCACTAAAGTGCATTCTCGTAATTTCTTAACCAAATAATTTCAATATTATCGCTTAACGAAAATAATTATAATTTAGAGATCGTATGGTTAATTGCTTTCCCGAACATTCTTTGATCTTGAAATGATTTCTTAATAGACTTCTATTATCTTGCACAAACCCTCTTGGGGTTAAAAACCAGTTATCCCCGCATTTTCTAAACAAACTAGCATTTCTTATACACATCTGTAGTTTTATCAGATCAATAAATCTTTTCAGAGTTATTAATCACTTCCAGGGACAATTCTTGTCATTATACAACATAGGGGTATTTTCATAATTTTACCTAATCGAAGTATTCTCATAATTTATCATCCAAATACCTTTAATGAGATAAATTATAATCTACATATCCATGGCTGATTCCTTTATCACTTAATCCCATAACTTGTAATTTAATTCCAATTGTCCTCCTATTTCTTATAATAGTCATATGAGCCACATTTAGTTACATACTTTCTACCTTATTCGTATCGAGTGTAAAAATTAATTAACTATTCAATAATCCAACATTTACATTCATGCATTTATCAATACCAACATGTTTCATAAAGCATGAAAAGATAGTAATGTATTGCCTCGATTTTTGTATCATACTGATCGACCATTAAATTTCATTCGAACTTCCTCGATCCTTAATTCAACTTCCAATAATTCCTCAGATGCATATCAATAGAAATTACATCAAAATGGATTAATTCCGAAAAAAGGCTCGAGTCGGGTGATAAATCAGTCAAAAACAGCCTACCGAGTTTGAATTTGGCTAAACGAACCCTAAAAACAGATTTGAGACGTCAAAAAACATAAAATATGACTTTTAAAAAATTTTGACTTTTTCGGTCAAAGTCAACGACGATCAACGGTCAACGATTTTACACAAATATCACCCTAACAGAAATTAATTAAATATTATGTACCATTCTAAAAATATATACAAAACTAGCATTCGAGTTTTTTACACAAATATCACCCTGTGACTAGGACTTTGCCATGCGTAGTGGCGGCGCGTTCGACGCCGTATGGTCCAAAAATTCTCGGAAAAATTTATAAAAATTATTTTAATGCATTTTGAGACACTTGCTAAGCTCGGTTCACAATTTTGAACGACAGAGAGCTCGATTCCATAACATCAAAAACTTTGACTTCTTCACCCCTCCACGTGCCGGCGACGACGGAGAAACGGAGAACATCGGTGCACTCGGAACGATGCAAGGAACTCAATGGTATTGGAGGTGTCGAAAACGGATGGCCGGATAGACGTGAATCGATGAAAAACCAACGGAAATCGAGTTAAAATCGACAATACTTCCAATTGAAATTAACGACGAACGATGACGATTTACAACGAAAGGTTTGAAGTTTTTTGTTCATCAGTCGACAATGAACATGATGGTGGTTTCGATTCGTCAATCGGAGGTCGGACGACGAGTAGATCGGAATTGAAATGAGGGTCAAATGGGAGGGAAAACTGGAAATTTTCTACATAAAAGCATACGGGAATGGGGTTTTATAATCCTCCCAAACCAAAAATGGTTAAACTATAAGTTTAGTCATTAAATTCCTTACACTTTATAAAACGATCTGCAAACTTTGAAATATTACAATTTAATCCTCAATTTCTTTTAAAATATCAATTAAAATCAATACTTTATAATTTCTAAAATTTAGCCCTTAAATTGGGGTGTTACACCAACTATATGATACTCTTTATTAAGTCATAATTATTAAAAGTTAAAAATGACCCTCTAATTATTAATAGTCTCTGACTATTAAAAGTTATAAAATGATCACATGACTATTGATTATGTTCTAAACTTGTTATTTTTCATTAAAAAATTAACAGTTGTCTAAGATAGACGTTAATATTCTGACTGAGAAATCATAGTCTTTATCAAATCACGATCAGCATGTTAACGGATTGCAAATTTGATTTACGTTTTACATAATATCCTATATATTTTATGTAGTTATTAAGAAAAAGAAAGAATAAAAAAATGATCATAGTGGAATTTTAAGCCATAAAAAACTTAAAGTATAAAACCACTAAGCAAATATTGTATTTGAAAAATAGTTTGATAGATATTTTATATATATTAAACATTGGTTTATACAATATTAAAAGAAAATTAAATTTAAAGATTTATATATTTTTAAAATAAATTTAATATTTTATTTTTCACATTTATAGTTTAATAATTATATATAATCTTAAATTGAGTCTTTTTAATTTAATTCATTATTTTATTTTTTATTAAAAATAAAATGTGAATTATTTATATTTTAGTTAATTTTTATTAGATTATATAGTTTAAGTGTATATGTATATTAATTGTGTTAATTATAACATCAACACTTCTGTTAAATTTTAATGAAAAGTGACTTAATTGATATTTAAATAATTTAATAGTCTAATTAATAAATTTAAAATATAAATAATAAAAATAAAATAATTAAATTTATTAAATTAAATTTATGATCAAAATGATAGAATGTATAATTATATAAATTTTATTAACGGTCACGTTATTATTTCAATTAAATATTAACGTCAAGTGACTTGAATTATATAATTTAAATAATATGATGGTTTGCTTAATAAAATTAAAAGATCGATGATAAAAATAAAAATTTAAATAATTAAATTATAAATAATATAGGTTACCCTAATATAAATTTAAAATTTAATTAAAATAAAATAATATTTTATATCACTTTATCCAAATATATTTATAATAAATTTAAAGTTAATTTAGATTCTATTTGTTCTTGGAGAATATTATTTATGAATATTAGATAGATCCAAATACAAACAGGTTTGGAAATTGAAATGATCCAAATACAAACGTGAATTCATGGATAGAAACCTGGCAAATCATTTAGCGTGGTTGGAGTCGAGCTTAGCAGCTTCAAGATCAGCAGCTTTCTTCAGAAAACTTTGGTCATCATCTTCAAGAACCATCTGGATAGGGCAAGACCCCAACCCATCAGCAATAGCAAGCAAAATCTTCTTCATCTCAGATCTGAACTCCTGGGGGTCAACGGTGCCGCTGCCGTCACAATCGAACCCCTCGAAGATGGAATTGTAAAGCTGAGTGAGCTGCTCAGGAGGAGTGACCACGTCGACACCGAAGTGGGACTCGAGGAGGCGGAGGGACTCGAAGGCCTTGCGGAGCTCCGATCTGGAGAGGACGCCGTCGTTGTTGAGATCCAGAGCTGCGAAACTCTCATCCACGCTCTTCTTGAACTCTTCCTCGTCTGCCACGAATGCTCTCACCGTCGATCCGTCAATGATTACCACGCCCATGTCTTTTCCACTTTTTTTTTCTTTTTTTTTTTTTTTGTTTATGCGGCAACTGAGAGTCGTAACCGTGATATTGTGAAGATAAGAAACGAGAATACTTTAGTCTGTAGATTGTTGTGGTGGGAATAGTGGGTCGTTCTGCGGTGCGGCGCCTAAAAAACGGTTAATATACGGCGTGACCGGTTAAACAAGTGACCGGTTAAAATTTAGACCGGTTATGTTATATTATTTAACCGGAAATATTATAAAGTACAATAACATACTAGGTAGCGCTTATATAATGTAATAGGTAGCGCTTATATTTACCTATTTTAAGTAAACCAGTATATTTATACCGATAGCATTGCAAATTACCTATTACATATATTATATTGAAAGTGTCCATACTTTTATAAAAAGGATCGATACTTTAACAGTGTTTCATGTTTTCCACCTACAATATTGATTTAATAATTTCATTTGCACAAAAAATTATTTGATTGTTTTGATATTTTATAAAATATTATTTAGAATTTTTAATTTAATAATAATATATACCGTAACGTAAAAAATAAATCATTAGACGCCTATAATTACTAAATTAATATCTTAAAACTCACTCAAAAGATAACCTTAAATTAATGTTTTCCACAGTGAAAAAAGTATGGACACTTTTATAAAAAGGATAGACACTTACAATATAACCATTACCTATTACATTATATAACGATACCTATTACATTATATAAGGGCTACCTATTACATCATATGTTACCTATTATATTGAAAGTGTCCATACTTTTTATAAAAAGGATCGATACTTTTTTTAAAACTTATGTAATTTATGTTTCAATTTTTTTAACAGTGTACTGCGAATTTAAAATGATAATATACTTGTAGTTATTGTACATACCTAAATATGTACTGCGAATTTAATGTTGTACCCACCCTTTAACTACAGAAACATGTTCAAAATGAACCTTCGTTTACATATCCATCAACTCCTGGAGCACTGAACTTGCACAACAAAATTTTTGCCATGGATAATACTGATGTAGACAATGTTAAGCCAACCGAGGAATGCCATGAAGTACATAATGTTGATGAATCTGACAGATTGGTTGGTCAGCTCTTCTGTTCACGTGATCAAGCTTGGCACTTTTACAAGGGATTCGCACGGGAACATGGGTTTAGTGCACGTAAGGGAACAACACGGCTTGACGTGGAAGGGAATGTGAAGACACAAGAATTTTGTTGTTCCAAAGAAGGGTTTCGAGTATCAAAAGTCAATACTGTTGATCGTCAACGTGCTCATACGCCAGTCACAAGAACAGGATGTAAGGCTAGAGTCGTAGTTACAGCAACAAATACAAACGATCAGTGGGTTATAAGTAAGTCTGATCAGAAACATAATCATGCATTGTGCACATCTGCTATGACACCATTTATGCGTTCTAATCGAGCTGTAAGTAAGGCTGATATCGATGAGGCAACAACATTGAAAGAGGTCGGTGTTGGCACGTCACAAGTAATGACTATTTAACGCAGCAGGCAGGGGGCTATCATAATGTTGGATTTACACATAAAGACCTCTACAATGCACTTCAAAGAGGTAAAGCAAAGGAAATCGTCGATGGGGATGTGAATGCGCTTATTGCCTACTTTGATTATAAGAAACATGATGATCCCGGGTTTTTTATGACATACTCGGTAGACGAATCGGGGGCATTGTATAATCTTATTTGGTCGGATTCTACATCGAGATCGGATTACACATGCTTCGGTGATGTAATTGCGTTCGACAAAACGTACAAAGATAATTTGTATGGTCGACCAATTATGCCTATTGTTGGTGTCAATCATCACCATAACACAATTGTGTTTGCCATGCCATAATCGCTGACGAAACGTTCAATCTTTCGAGTGGGTGCTACAGAATTTTTAGAAGCCATGATGAATAAATCACCTATTTCTGTTGTAACCGATGGGGATAGGGCAATGCAGAGGGCTATCAAATCTGTTATCCCTTATGCTAAGCACAGATTATGTTCTTGGCATCTTTCTCGCAATGCACAAGCTAACATTGGTGACCCAAAGTTTACAGCAGCATTCTCAAAATGCATGGCTTCCTGGTGGACAACCAAGGAATTTGATATTCAATGGCGTTCGATTGTTTCAGAATCAACGTCCAAAAGCATCCATGGGTGATTGAGAAGGGAAATACACGACACTTATGGGCACAAGCATATCTAACCGGTCATTTCTTTGCCAATATTCGCTCAACACAAAGGTGCGAGTCTATGAATGCTTCACTAGCTATTGCACTGAAACACAAGAAGACATATTTAGATGTTGTTCGTGCAATTGAAGATGGAATTAGTAGAATGCGTATGAACGAGTTGAAAGCGGATTACTTAAGTTCCCATACGAAGCCCTTCCAGATCACAAAACTGGTCGACCTTGAAAGCCATGCCGCTGCGATTTTTTACCCGCGAATCTTTTCGTGTGTTCCAAGATGAACTTACACGGGAGACATTGTACCGGATTGAGGCAGAGATTAAGTCCTTATCAGATGAATGTCAACATTATATTTTGTCAAAGTACGCAGAAAAAAATAGGAAATTTGAAATTAGTTTGATTCTCGTACGAAAACTCTAATTTGCTCCTGCAAAAAATTCGAGACGTTGGACTTCCGTGTCGCCATCAACTTCACATTTTGAAGCAATTGGACTACACATATTTGCCCGGACTTTGATTCAAAGTAGGGACTAATGATGCGAAGGCTTCTGCACCAGCTATGTTGATTTGAATGTGTCTCCAGAAGTGATGCAAATGGCAAGGTTCGTTGCTCTACGTTCAACGTCAAGTAGGTTATGCTACATTGCATCAAAGACAGACGAGTCTTTCAAAACCGCAAGAGATGAGATGAAAAAAACTAATAGAAGAATTAGAAAACTCGTTTGGTTTGAATCATTCAGTCAACCAGAGCATTGTAGTAAACAATGTTCGTGACCCTCAACGAAAACAACGCAAGCGAAAAGAAGTGCCGAAGAACAAGGTCGAGAAGCAAATTAGGCGATGTGGGTACTGCAACGGTGAGGGGCATAACAAACTAACATGTCCTCAAGTCAAGCTTAGTTTGAGTACAAGCACACAGCCTACATCAACTGATTTTTTTCGAAGACGGAATGGAATGACAACGATCTCATATAATATATCGTAAGTATCAACATCACTCTATTGTATGTACATATAAATATTTTGAATGAAGGAAGAAAAACCGCGTACTTCAAATTACCGACACTTTTTTAAATGGTATGGACATAAAGTACCGACACAATATTAAAAAGTGTCGATACCGGTTGTAGACCTATTCGCTCATAAAAACCGGTATATTTATACCGGTTATATTACAAATTATCTATTACATTATAATATGGGTTCCGATGTGTAAAATGTCGACACTTTTTTAAATTGTATCGACACATTTTTCTTCCAATATGGACATAAAGTACCGACACAATATTAAAAAGTGTCGATATAGGTTGTAGACCTATTCGCGCATAAGACCGGTATATTTATACCGGTTATATTACAAAATTATCTATTACATTATAATATGGGTTCCGATGTGTAAAATGTCGACACTTTTTTAAATATATCGACACAATTTTCTTCCAATATGGACATAAAGTAGACACAATATTAAAAAGTGTCGATATAGGTTGTAGACCTATTCGCGCATAAGACCGGTATATTTATACCGGTTATATTACAAAATTATCTATTTTATTATAATATGTTGAAAGTGTCCATACTTTTTATAAAAAGGATCGAACTTTTTTTAAAGATATGTAATTTATGTTTCAATATTTTTTAAGTATGTTTCATGTTTTCCACCTACAATATTAATTTAATAATTTCATTTGCACAAAAAATAGTTGATTGTGTTGATATTTTTATAAAATAATATTAAGAATTTTTAATTAACAATAATATATACCGTAACGTAAAAAATTAATCATTAGACGACTAAATTAATAATTACTAAATTAATCACTTAAAAACTCACTCAAATGTATATGTACACATAGAAGCAAATATGGAATAATTAATGAAAATATACATACAATATAATCACACCAAAATTTAAATACACAAGAATGTTCAAATAATGTACCGACAAACAAAATTAATCCGATGAAAAAGGGTTGTTTCTAACGAAGTCCGGAACATTAGAGGCCTTCAACAAATTTTCCAAATACTCTCGTATGTTTCCGCCTTTTTCTGAGGACATACATAAATAATTTCAATTATCAAACTAATGAGGTGCAATTTACTAACAATAAATTAAATTCGCATAAGCATGAATAAATTTGTGTATACCTAGAGCTTTGTCGTTCGAATGGGAGCAGCGTCAAAGGTATGTGGACATATGTAATTGTATTTCTATATAAACACATAAGTTGTTAAAATAATCAATGTCTGAACACCTGTTCAACTGATCAGAAACATATTGCATAAATGCAACCTACGGATTATAAATCATTTTTCCGCTGAATCATCGACCAAAAGTGTATTTAGCTCGTTAAAATCTGGACACGCGTTCCAAAACATCATTGAGATCTTTACAATAGGTAACAGAATCGTATGTTTTGCATTTTTTTTGATCCTGTTCACAAACAGTCGAACATAAATATGTAGGAATCATAGACAAGGAAAAGTCAGCAAACTGTAATGACATTCATCTTACCCACACGAATAGAAAATGCTCGGAAATACAGGTAGTTTCTCAAGTACACGGTCGACGTTATGCCTGAGATTGTAATCAAGATGAATGTTAACATTCAAATGTATATTAACGATTTTGACTACAGTAATTCAATTGCCTCAAACATGTAACCATCTTTGAAGACCAAAGGGCAACAACAAAATTGTCGACACAAAATTGATAAATTCAAATAATCCTCTTCTGAGGACAACATCTACAACATGAAGAAATGAGATTAAAGTTCTACGCTTATATGTTAAAATAATGGATACAAAAGAATAGAATTAAAACCTGCCGGCAGTCTTGGGATGTAGGCAAGGACAATTGAGATCAAAAATTAAAAGTTTTCTTGAAGGCGGCGT